ATCAATTCCAACTTCAAATTCAACTTCAAATCCAAATCCAAATCCAATCCAAATCCAATCTCGAATCCAATTCCAATCAATTTTAAATTCAACTTCAAATATCAAATAACAATAATACCTATCTATATTAAAGATTTGATATAATTTGATATAATATAATATAATATACTAGTAATATGAATTAATATTGATTTGATTGACTACTACAATACAAGTAGTTAATTATCGAATTACTATTTCTTTCTTATTTCCTACTTTCTACTACTTACACTACACCACCTACGGACGCTACACCACCACCACACCATATCACAACATACCATACTACCTACCTACAGACATGATACGATACGATATAATGTGATACTCTGGGTTGAACCAACAGACAGCCAGGAGTATGTATCCAACAGCACAGCAGCACATTCATCCCATTCGATGCAGTTCCAGTCAGCCCAGTCCAGTCCACATCAGTTCAATCCATTCAAATCCATTCATTCCCTTCCCTTCCCTTCTTCCATTCCACTCCATTCCATTCCATCCCACATTTCTCTTACACTTTACTTTACTACTCGAGTAATCCCCTATCCATTTCAATCCCAACCTATCCCATCCCACCCCATCCCATCCCATCCCATCCAGATCCAACCTAAGAGTCAAACCCCGCACGTAATGCCTTCATATACAAGAGTAACAGCATAAGCAAGCAGAAAGCGTCAACGCGAAAGATGTATGAACAAGAAGCAGAGCAAGAGCGAGCATGAGAATGAGAACAAGAAACAAATGTCAGGGCAGATACAGTACTGTAGATGGAACAAACAAGCAAAACAAACAAAAAATCTGCAATCCCCAACGTACATCTTAGAAGAAAGAAGAAAATATGGTATCACAATGGCCTTCCCCTTTCTTGCTTTCTCATCACTTTCACCCACCCACCCCGTCTGTCAGCGCCGCGCTCCTTGAATGTGATGTGATGCGTATTCACATAAACAAAACGATCTCTCCTCTATCATTCTTCTTCATTCTTAAACTCCTCCACAACTCCTTTTCTTCATCTCCCTTTCCTAACGCTAATCCAGCGGCTGTTCTCTCCCGGTGATATCTCTTCAATGCTTTATTCATTGAAACGCCTTTCTCGCTACTGGGACCCTTGTTCACCATACTCATGAGAAGTTCGGCGCGAGGTTTATAAACTATCATTTGGTTTTCTCCGGGAGAAGAATCATCGGCACCATTAATGGGCTTATATTCGAGCATCTTAGGTCTTTCCGATGACTTGGTGCGATGCTTGTGCTTGCGTTTCTTGGGTCGGTCTTCCGAGTGCTCGCGAGAATGCTGGCGGGTGGTAATCAGGGACATCAAGTTGCTGCCAAACGTATCGGTACGAGTGCGTGGGCGGCTGGCGCGTTTCGATTCTTTGGTCTTCTTTGGTTTTGCACTAGGAGTTTCTTTCTCAGCATCGGCACCGGAGTAATCTGGCGATGGAGGGAAGACTGCTGGTCGGGAGAGAAGTTTGCCAAGTCCACCGGTCAATCCTGAATGTAGCACGGGCGGCGCATCATCCATTAGGACATCGCCTTCACGAGGTGACAAATCGTGGGTATCGACATGTAGACGTTTGCGCTTCTTGTCCTTCTTCTTCTCATCTTTCTTATCCTTCTTCGATGATTTCCCATCGTGTTCCTTTGTGGGTTTCCATTCAATCGCTTTCGGTACTGGTGTTTCGAAAGGTCCGGTGGTAGGTACAGGTCCAGAACCCCATTCAACGAGATTGGTAATGGTTTGATTGTTCTCTTCGGAAGTTACTCGTACCAGATCTGTGGAAGGTTTCTCTGCTTCGGATACATCTGCATTGTCGCTCATAGGTTCATCACGAACCTGGTAACGCTCCGGCTCAGAATCGTTCATGACCTCATCAGATGCGGGGAGTTCCAATTTCGATGCATTGGGCGTCGCATCAACCAGGAAATCGAATACATTGACGGCTGCTGACGGCGAAGGAGCTTTCGGTATCGAAGGTGCTGTAACGAGTTGTGAATTATCGTATTCATCTTGCGCATCTTCGACATAAGCTTTGTGGGCGGGTGCCGATTGAGAATTGTTCTGCGAACCATTCTTCTGCTGCTGATTGTTTTGTTGCTTTCCTTTCTTTCCTTTACCCTCTCCTCTGTAAAGTGCACCTTGATATTTTTGTGCCTCGCTCATACAGCTCTAAATTGTTGTCAGCAAAGGATGCCCCGCGTCGAAATCATGTTTGTTTGTTTACATACTGTATGCGAACGGTATTCCAAGCCTTGAAAATGTACCATGCAGTCCAGACAAGTATATGTTGCCCCGCGACATTGATTTCGATGAGGGTCGAGTTTTTTTTTCGTAAGAACGTCTCCGCAATTCTGTAAAATGGTTTTTTTTTTGTTAGACAAGGCCTTGAGTTACCATAATAGATGTAGTTGTAGGTTTAGGTGTAAATGTTGATGCAGGTGTTGGCATTGGTGTTCCAATAGACATTGGATAGTAGGGATAGATAATAAACATACCTCACAACTGAATGATACCATGATGATATAAGTTTTCCTTTTCCTGCAGGATTTTCCCAAATTGTCTGAGATTCGAAATGTTTTCGAAGAGTTTTATCAGATAATAAATCGATAAGATTGTTAAGTATTGCGGGGAGGCAGCTAGCTTTTGGGAACTTGGGATCGTATTGGGGTATTGTATTCGTATGTAGTTGTTGAGATGAAACTCGGGGGGAGGGATAAGAAGATAGTGAGTGTTTCTAAATAGAAATACTTCCTATTTTGTCTATATCAAAGCCACTTTTTGGAGGGGGTAACCAGCAATACTTGGCTGGGGTTGGGGTTGTCGTCTTAGAATAAATAAATAGAATCTATGTCTTGGGTCTTGTCTTGGGTCTTTTGAACCAACAGACCTTGGTGATCTTTTTTTGTGGGATAAGTCAAGGGCTATGCAGGTGCATTAACTTGCGCGCGTCGGTATTATAATTATAATTCTTGTTGCATGAAAAGAGAAGAGAGGAAGGGGTTGATTGATGTATGAATTAAGTGAAAGATGAAAAATGTTTGGTTGGAATTTTTTATACTTTTCTTCCTTGATCCTTAACTGGTGGAGATGCCGCCCTCTTGTCCCCTCCCCCTCAAAAGACACTAGAATACGCCCGGACTTATGCTAAGAATCATATTCGTACTACCTAGGTACCCATGCTAACTTGTACCTTTTCTTATTGCTACACGGTGACACCTAATAGCTACAAAAGACTATAATAAAATAGCTACGATGTTTATGAATGTATCTAACCTCCACTACATATTCATTGAACAATGTTAATTTGTATTGTCTTGCTTCGATATGTTGTGTTGGGAGGTGAACCAGAAGGAATTCAATACAGTAACGAGTACTGGTAGAGGAATGTTCCTGATTCAAAGGGGGGATATTGAAAATTCTCTAGCCTTGGGCGTCAATATCAAGGGGAGGGGGGATATCTTTACACGAGGAAGTATCATTGGGTTGCCCTACGTGCCATGATGTGCCATTATATGATATTCTCATTTTGTTACTTGGGCATTGTATCGAATCTACCTTACCTTAGGTACATCTACAGTAAGATATTAAGATATTCTTCATTTGGATGATCCCCTTATTCCATCTTTCGACTTGTAAGGTACTGCTACATATTGGGATCTCAATTGTTGAGTCAATCTCATCAATTCTCTCGTTAGCATAGATGGAGAAATGTGAAGTCGGGGATTCTAGGTCATCATTCGAATTTTACATAGTACAGTCAGTACATGTGGTTGTTGGCAAAGAAATGAAGGAGGCCGGAGACCGAGTACAGTACGACCACCATAGGAAAGAAAACCAACACGGAGTATATTCTCGATGATCTACTATGATCTGAGTCTAGATTTCCCCATGAAGGAGTTATCCGGAGTATGGTGTATCATCTTTTGGATAATAGAAACCCCAAACATGAACTATTCTTGATCACACCTTACTGAAGTTGTAACCCCTTCCCCCGTCCCCCGTCCCCTTGCTGTCTCGAGTTGTATCTCAATCACATCGTGGCTCATAACATGGCTTAATAGCTCAAGAATGGCTGTAGAACCAGAATATCGTGTACTCTCATTGATGCAACTCCCAACCCAGATACAATCTAATCACGAACCGTGTCAAATCATACGCCAGTCTGTCATTAGTACGACGTAGATGAAAATCTACGAGGTATTTGTTTCATCGTGTTGGTTCAATCCACCTCGTCCCAAATTCTCCGTTGGTGTGTCTACGTCCCCTTCCCTCTTTATCTTGCACCCTTTTGCATTGATGAAGTTGATCTGACGAGTTGATGATTGATGTTGCTATCCCGTTCACACTTAAGAGGAACGTCGACGTCACACACAATCGAGCCTCAGATTCCTCGAAAGAGTATAGAACAATAGAAGTTGTTCTCAGTTGATATAGCCTTGGGAAAATGTGTGGACGGGATTCCGTTTCTTTACTTGATACTTTACATACCTGGTATAATCGTGCTTACCCGACGATGGCATACATATTACTTGCAGGAATGCTGCAATGAAATTTAAAATAGATCTACAGTATGTCCTGACTCCTAATGTACCACTAATCTGTAGTTACCTTACTCATAAAACTTACTGCGACTACCCCTCGACATCCGAATCTCAACCCAATGAAATGTTATTGAACCATTTTGATATATTTTTTGTGGAGTGATAGATCATAGAATGAATATCAGAAGGATTTGTTGATATTCTGAGACAAATCCATATGAATTTGGATTTTGATAACACTTTTACTGTATTAGCGGAGCGGTCAATACAATCAATGGGTTCAACATTTGGTCAGCCTTCTACACCACTTTTCGAAACTCTTCACGAGAAACAATCCCAAAATAAAATCAAATTCAAAATCAAACCCATCAATCTCTTGATTCATCCCAAAGTTTCTTCAAGATATCTCCCCAATTGTATCAGTACTTTGCAATACTTATGATTATTTTAATTCCTTTCATTCACGACAGCTCTCACATCTCTCATCTCAATTCATTTGGAGGAGATATCTGGCCATTGACCTTAACAACTACCCTTTCTACCCTTTACCTCCTTGAACCTTCTCTAACCTCCTAAAGAATGACTTCACAAGACTCTTCTGGTGGAGCTTATTTTGAACAGGTAACTACTGTTACCAGTTCTATCGCGGGTTACCTCAAATTTCCTGTCCTTGTGTCTTCGGTACATATTTCTTTCACACTTTTCCAATCCAATTCGCCCTTTCTGTCATTGTGGAAGGGGGACCAGAAATCATGGCGGTGAACTGTGCCACGCTTAATCATTGTACTTACAATTCCTTTACAGGGTATAACTTTTTTATTGAGTTCTCTTCTTTATTTCAAGCAAAAGTAATTTTTCCCCTCCTCTCTTCCTCCATCCATTCTTCTATCCATCACTTCTTCTATCACACATATATACATATCACACACATCACACACATCACACACATCACAAACATTACACACCACATCGCCCACCCATCCACGACCCCCAAACGATGTTACTATCTAATCAAATACTGATCAACATGTTCCTCCAATCATTAGATCCTTGATTTATCCAAGTTCCATCCCAAATGCGGCCCGCACCGAAGTCCCACGACCCTCACAATTTGGCATATCGGATTTCGAGGAGTTGATGATCCCTACGCCTGATGGCGAAAACCTTTCAGCCTTCTATATTCGAGCACCCAAAACAAGGTCGAGAAAGAATGTCACAATACTCATGTTTCATGGCAATGCCGGAAATATCGGTCATCGCATACCCATCGCGAGAAGATTCATAAACATTGTAGGATGTAGTGTTTTGATGCTGGAATATCGGGGTTATGGCCTCTCTACTGGATCACCGGATGAGAAAGGTCTCATGATAGATGCGCAGACTGGTTTTGACTATCTTCGAAAAAGAGCAGAGACGAGGGATAATGATATCGTAATCTATGGACAGAGTCTTGGAGGTGCGGTATCGATACAACTAGTGGCTAAAAATCAGAACGAAAAAAGATTAGTGGGTCTAATTTTGGAAAATACTTTTCTATCCATGAGAAAGTTAATTCCTTCGTACGTATACTCTCACTACACTACATACTTCTGATGGAACACTAATAATATCTCGCAGTGTCATTCCACCTGCCAGATATCTTACCTATCTATGCCATCAAATCTGGCCATCAGATACATACCTCCCTACCATTACCGAAGTTCCCATTCTCTTCATTAGCGGTCTCCTGGATGAGATTGTACCGTATGTCTTTCCCTTCTCTCTTTCTTCCCACACACCATATCCTAGAATGATGACCCAATTTCCATCCACAAAACATGACGTCCCTTTTGGGACTTGATTATATCACGAGAACTTTTTTGTCTGACTACCTCTTACCATACTTCTACTCGTATCACAAGACTACCTGAACTCTTTTACTGACTCCCCAAATCACAGTCCTAGCCATATGCGCCGCCTCTTCGAGATCTGCCAATCCCCTACTAAAATCTGGAAACCTCTCCCTGGTGGTGACCACAATTCAAGCGTCGTCGAAATTGGATATTTCGATGCAGTAGCCGATTTCGTCGATAACCTAGATACTAAACACGGTTAGACAAATACCCATGAACACCCAACATTCGAATATTTCTAGCATGCGTTGCAACACAGATATTAATATAGCATTTGGCGAGGCGTTTGGTGCATTCAGTTGCTCCTCTTGATCAAGCGAGAACTTGAATAATAGATTATTTTTCATGAGCAATTGACCCTGATGGACGATACATAGAACGAGAGAGGGATCACTAGGAAAAAGCAAAAGATGTCTTCCATTACGAGATTCTGGATCACGATAGATATGGGAAATATAATTAAGCACAAGGACAGATAGTATTCTTTCGAGAAACTCTCCTTGTATTATTGCATTTTCATACTTTGCTTGAGTTTACCTATATACATGCTAGTGGGTCTCATTGATATCATATACATTCTGTGATGTGAAATACAATAAAAGTGAAGTCATTAACTCGAGTACAAACACATCTCTATCCCTTCATATCCTGTTTAATAATAATAATAATAATAATAAGCTTGCTTGCCTTACAGCTAGCTTGGAATGAGATAAGATAATAAATACGAGTACAGGAAGGAGGAGTACGGTACCTAGTACGAGTAGTTGTCGCAAGTTCATCCATTCATCCATCTAGTATATCATTGTATGTGTGTGTGTGTGAGTGGGTGAGTGAGTGAGTGAGCAGATAATGATAATGATAACGATAATGTATACTCGTATATACGTATATATATTAATAAGTCTCATTATTCGTTACTCGAGTAGAGCAAAGAAAAGATGAGTAAAAGATAAATAGGAAATAGAACTAACTACTAGGTAGGTAGGTAGGTAGGTAGGTAGGTAGCTTGGATGTTTATTATATATTTATATGGTATATATAAAAATACATAAAAAGCAAAGCTTAGTTTAGTTTACTTTATATCTTGAATATTAGATGTAGAATATCAGACAGATGTAGAATGTTAGAGTTCTTGAGGAATTGATTTGGGGAATTGAGGAATTGATTTGGTTTGAGGAATTGATTTGAGGAATTGATAGACTGGTGGAGATATATGCCAAGTAGCTAGCTAGCATTGGAGTATTGGAGTATTGAAGTATTAGGGAGGGGATGTGGTTGTGGTTGTGAATGAGGGGAATGTTAAGTTATTCAGAGAGTGAGAGGGTGAGAGAGAGAGAGTGAGAGAGTGAGAGAGAGTGAGAGAGAGTGAGAGAGTCAAGTCAGATCTAGTAGGGCTGTAATTCTGGAGATGCGAATACAAAATGTCGACGACTATGGTACGGGTACACCTTTCCCTCTTCCTGTTGAAGCTTTACTTCTTTCTGTATACACCCATCCTCCACCACCCTCCCATCCCTCCCAGCACTCCGCCCCACCACCATCTCACCCTCACCCTACCCATAAACCCACCACCTCACGCCTCCCACCCCCACCAACCCTACAACCATCACCCCCGTAAACCAAGCACACATCCTCTTTGCCCTCTGAATCTTCAATTCTTCTTCATGTTCTTCCCATGTCATCCTTTCTCGTCGACCACTTATTCTCCCTCTGCCACCTCCACCACCACCATCTCCTCTATCTTCCTCAGCTTCAGTTTCCGAATCATCCGAAGAAAGCGAGGATTCAGAGATGGGCATGGAGAAACGGGGGAGATGAGGGGAGGTATTTTGATAGGAAGGTGGCGGGATAAATGGGCTAAGGAGGGGATGTGGTCGTGGTTGTGGTTGTGGTGGTGGTGGTGGAAGATGAGTAGCTTGTTGGCTTTGCGGAATGCAGTTTTGCGAAACGGGGTTTTGTAGTGGGTGATGCGAGGAATGAAAAGGCGGTGGAGCGAGAGTTTGCTGCAAGTGCAGACACGACTGTGCCTCCGACTGCACCTGTGTCTGTGTCTGTGTCTGTGACTGTGAGTGCGAGGGAAGAGGAGCATAGATAACCGAAGCAGGCGATGAACCCAGGGGAGGAGAAGAAAGAAGCGGGGAATAGAAATGTTGCATTGGATTTGATATATCGATGCTTGAGGTTGCTTGAGATGGAGTTGGGGATGGAGATTCAGATCGAGGTTGAGATGGTGGTTGTTGAGGTTGTTCTTGAGAAGCGGATTGCGAGGGTGTGATGGCGTGAGGAAAAGGATTGGTAGTCATTTTTGTGAGTTTGATGTTGTCGTTTCTGATTGATTTAGTTGTAAATCTCTGGGTGACTTCTTTTCAGGCAAGTTATCTGCTTGTTTGGAATATGTCTTGAGGGAACGAAAATGGCTGTACTGAGGAAGTGATGTTTGTATGGATAGCAACGTGCCGTACTGTGATTCAAGTGAGATGTTTGACTTTTGGCTTGTAGATCGAGAAATTGTGAAGATTTCAAATAGGCGGAATCTTCCAAATTAGTCGAAAGATATTAACATGTGCTCAAGCAAAAGGTAGCGTGAATATGTCGATATTTTTAGAACTGGGATTTGCAAATGTCCATGAACTTTCAGGTAAAATCAGTGATGCCCAAATTCAAGATTTGATGTAAGAAAAGCAGTTGAGTGAAAGTGAAATCGACATATACGTCTTGTATTTGCAGGTGTAGATATTGCTATTGCCGGAAGGATCATCAGTAGTACAAAGTGACGAAAACCATCATGGACTATGATTTGGAAGGTGCAGTGGAAGGAGTGAATGGGCAAACGTAAAAATCAAAGATATTGTAGGGTATCTGCTCTCCAATTCCCATTACCAAAGTTTAAAACTATGATATCCAAAATCCATGGTTGAATGCGGGGTGCTGATCAACCAAACAGTGAATAACAAGGCAGAAAACTCGCCCTTTTACTTCCTCATGAATACATGTTGGATGTTGCTCCGATGTCATAATAATGGTCCGATCCCTCAAAAATTGGTGAGCTTGCACTGCGATATCCAAGCTACCTGCGGCCACGAGAATCATTCTCTCACGTCTCAAGATTTGCACATTGTCGAAGAAGTCTGGTATCGGGAATTCATCGGGCGTCTTTTAATTGTGGTGAAAATATTTCCTTGATCTCATCCATCCATATTCATTGGACGTCCACCCAGCCCACAGCCGTAGCAAAGACCTGCATGAATGAAGAGTATCCCATTGCTCCTATCAACCAACCAAGACCAACAATTTATCTCAATCTTCTAGCCTCACGCTCGGATTCGAGTAGGCAAAGAATGTCGTCTTCGCGGACTGTTTCGATAATGTTAGCCTATAACCTTCCTGGCTCCCTGACCTTCTTCCTTCTCGAACTTGCGCTGCCGAAATATAATTGTGGGGGAATGAAATATAAATCGTAAAATCGTACCTGGGCCCTTGACGTTACGGATGATGGAACGGGTGGTATCGTCCATGAACTCAACTCTGACTTGAGTAACACCTCCACGGGAACCTAAATTTCATCAGAACTTCCTCCTTTCACATCCGCAGACGTAGTTTTCTCAATTTCGACATACCGGTTCTACCCAAAACACGGGTGACCTTAACGAGCTTGACGGGAACCTTTGATGCATCCATTTTGCAATCTGAGTATTATTAGAACCCAGAAATCGCAGATCGGCTCTTCAGTCACTCACAGAATTAATGCGCTTGGATTTTGGGATATGGTTGATGAATTGACTTGGGTCTTACTGGTCGACGTGAATTTGGTGATAATTTTTTGCCTGCTTGCAGAGTGCTTAGGGCAAGACTTTCTCGTTAAGAATATTAGCGTCCAAAATTTGACATCTTTACGCTAAAATAGATTTGGTCTAGTGGATTTGGAGGAGACGCCGACCACCGAAAGTACTAGCTAGAACCTGTTGGTCTGTCTACGTGGGGCCGATCAATGGAAGTTGAGTAACTTTTTTATAATGGAGTTTGCGCCAAACAACTAACGAATCATATTGAAAGTGAAGCTGTTGTCTCTTTCCCATATCTTCCAATTCGTGGCCTCTCTTCATTCGCATCACTTTCATTGTTCAATTTAATTAAGCCATATAATCTTCAACATCTGCAAACTTATCTCCCCTTGCTTGTGATTCAAGTGAATACCCCGCGACCGGAGTGAATACCTTCACATCGTACAGAGAGGCTTGCTTTCCCACGCCCTCAACAAAATGGATCTCGTCAATCAGTAAGAGTTTCCCCTCTCCAAACTTTTGTTACCTTTGAATTTGCCATTGAAGCCTATTTAAACCATTTGGAGTGATCAGTTTCACATTTTTGGAGCATGGCAACTTAGCAACTCTTCTTGTTTAAAGAAAGCTTCAATGAAGGTCCTCAAGATGTTGTATATTGCAGATGAAGAGAACGAAGAGTACGAACCCTTTACTAACGATGTCAAAAGCTTAGAAGGTAGATTGCTGTTCGCAGTACCAAAAAGTGAGTTATGATACCACTCGAATCGGAACTCGAGACTAACAGCTGATTAAATTGTTAGAGGGAAGATTGTTACAAGCAGCACTCAACCTGCTCGAGGGCGCGGATATTCAATTTCGACGCGAATCAAGACTCGATATAGCTTTAGTCAAAAATTTACCAATTGCGCTTGTCTTCCTCCCAGCAGCCGATATTCCTACATTTGTCGGTGAAGGTCGAGTGGATCTTGGTATTACTGGACGAGATACAGTTGCAGAACATGCCACAGGAGTTGAAACTGAAAAGAGAGTGAAGTCCGAATCAGGAACTTCAACTCCCGTCGAAGAGGCCAAGGAAGAGGGATGTGTGGAAGTACTGGATCTAGGATTTGGTGCTTGCAAGCTACAAGTTCAAGTACCAGAAAAGGGGCCATATGCGAAGCCATCAGACCTCATTGGAAAAAACATTGGTACCAGTTTTGTTAGTCTTTCCGAGGATTATTTCCGCGCGCTGGAGGCTGAGGCAGATGGGAGTGCCCAAACTGGGCGCAAGTTGAAGACGAAGATTATTGAGCTTAGCGGCAGTGTTGAGGCTGCATGCGCTCTTGGAGTCGCTGACGGAATCGTGGATCTGGTTGGTGAGTAGCAAGACCTGTTCAACCACCAGGAGTTTACTAATAACTTGTCAGAATCTGGCGAAACGATGAAAGCAGCTGGATTAATGGCCATCGATACTGTTGTCTCGAGTACAGCAGTTCTCGTAAAATCCAAGAATCCATCCAATCCAGCATTGGTAGATCTTATTGCTTCCCGCATTCGAGGTGTCATCACTGCACAAAAATACGTCTTGTGCCAATACAATGTTCAACGAACGTTCCTCGCAGATGCAGTCAAAATAACCCCTGGAAAACGTGCACCCACAATCAACGCCCTGGAAGAGGAAGGTTGGGTAGCTGTCAGTTCGATGGTGGAGAAGAAGAAGATCGCTGTGGTCATGGATGAATTGACGGCAGTCGGAGCAACGGATATTCTGATTCTTAATATTGCAAATACGAGAGCTGGGTGAGGACGAATGGCAGCTGCAGATATAAAAACAACAATGTGATACATGGATGAAATTTCGAATAACTAGTGGGAAATCAGTAGATTGGACAATACCCGTTTGGATCGAATTGAGTCTGGAAGGATAGCTTGGAAATCTCGCATGTTCTCAACTCAAAATTGAGAGTGGAAAATGCGTATCATAGGAAAAATATGAATGTGGGATGGATAAAGCAAAGAAATATAACGAAGTTTTGATGAAGTATTTATTGGTTGAGATTTTATATTTTGTATCCTTTACCATCCAACGGCAAATGGATCCCTCTTATCTTCTCTCAAAAGTGAACCATCTGGACCACCCAACAGCACACCTCTAAACCGTCGACGAATACTAACATATCTGATTGATGAGCCATTCGTTTTGTCTTTTGTCTCTGTCCTTGTTCTCTTATCTTCAAATAAACTGACTTCATTCTCCAGTTGTTCAGGCAGTATCTCTTCTCTAGTGACTACCCCTATCTTCTTCAAATTAAGAAGCGAGCCGAGAATAGTGGATGATGTGGTCAGGTGAGAATAAGTTTCTCCTCCAATGATTAAATATCTTAATCTTTGCAAACCACATGTATTCCCATCCCCATCAACCTCCTAATACTAGCAACCTCCTCATTTTCTCCAACCAAGCCGAATAAGAAGGATCGGAGATTTGGTTAGCCTCTATTTGAAAATATAAACTATCTCTCAAGGGGCTAAACCAGATATTCAGAGAATAATTGTGATGGTAGTGATGGAGGGCGAAAGAACGAGACTCGGAACTGAGGTGCAGAAGCACGGGGATGCTGGAGGAGGAAGAAAGGTACGTGGGGATAAAAGTTTGAGAGGGTGGAGAAAATTTCAATTCGAGGATACGGAGGGCAGGGAGACACTGGGTGTATTATACATTTGGATGCGGAGTTCGGGGGGAGAAGGGGGAAGAGTGAGAAGGTTGTGAGAGGTTGGGTTGATGGTGAGTAGGGGGGCTTGGAAGTAGGTAAGGTGTCAGTGGTGTCGCTGGTAGAGTGTGACATTTTGTGGGATGGTGCTGAAGATCAAAGTCTGAATAAGGACTGTGATGAGTTGGGGAAAGGGAAGGAAGGAGAGCTGAGCTGAAAACAGAATTGGGCGAGATTTTTAATGGCAGAGCTTGTCAAGCTGATTCATTTACAATAATGTTAAATGAAATAATGTGTCACGAATACCAATAGACAGAAATATCATATTTATGTATTTTGAGTAACCGCTGGGTATTATTCCTTCATGTAAATGAGGTTATATTGCCAGTGAGGTTTCTTCTCGAGCGTCTAGTTGCACCGCCTCGATGGAGAACTTCCTCCTTCAAGTGTTAGAGAAGAAATAAATAGTTGGTGGGATTATAGTTATAGTGAAAAGATAAAGATACTCATACCACGATTTCACAGTTCATCTCAAGGAAACGAAGTACACAAGATTTTGACCAGCGATGGAATTTAGAAAGATTAAAAGTTGGGATAGAAAAGTTCACTCAGCCTTTGTAAGGTTACCACGAGGCTATTAAACTCTTTCTATTTAAGAATTGATATAAGGTTACCGGTACTCGAGTATTTCTACTTTTATTATTGGAAATTGCGATTGGAAGCTTATTTCCACATTTGAGTTTTCGGAGTCATCTCATCTCATGCAATGCAAATCAAAGGTGATGAGCGAGTATGAGTCAACATCGTTGTGTGTGAGTCTTGGAGTTGACAAATTTATCCGAAGGGGGGCCAACTAGTATCAATTGAGAGCTCATTGATTGCCACATAAAGTCAGCCTTGCTGCCAGTCAGTGCTCCTTTCGTTTTGTACAAGCAAAAAAATAACTTCTCCCAAATTTTATACCGTTTGATTTTTCTTTTCATTCTTTCCTTGTTTGAAGTCGCCATATTTTTGAGGCGCAATCACTTGTTTTACGAAAAGTCCTATAAGGTTATTCTGCAAGCTCCCGAAAATCCGGTTTGCATTGGCATCGCAGTAAACCAAAATTAACGACCCCGCCACTAATCAACAAACGGATTTACCAAACAAGAAAGCAACAATTTCGAAAAGCTTTCCCTGCTTTGCGCAATCGAACATCATGGCTACTGCAGAACCATCTCCAATCCCCGGCCCTAGTCGTCCTCCTCGAACCCGGATTCGTCGCCCAAGAAGAGGCGGCCATCAAAATGCTGGACCTGCGCCAGCAGATATCAATGCAAATGCCACTCCAAATCCAGCAGCACAAGTACCAAATGGCTCTTTAGCTCTTCGCCCGGCTTCTATAGTACCATTGTCGATCTCAGATGCTCCAACTCCATCGAATCCACGAAATCCGATTGCAAATAATCGTGGCGGCCAAGGTAGAAGAGGTGGATTTGGACGAGGTGGCCGAAGAGGAGGTCCTCGTGGGCAACCTATGGCCAACGGGAGGGTTTTTGGGGGGCAACTTACTTCAAACCCCCATATTGGTTCTACGTCGGACGCTGGTTCTTTGGCTGGAGATGCCCCATCATTTGTGCCTGGACAACCTCTTGCCACCCGGGCTGGACCCTCTAGAGCTCCGCGCGCACGTCGAATGTCGAAATCGCAAGCTCCAGATCTTGCCACTCGAACACACGAGGATATCACGAATGGTCAATACGAGTGCGTGATTTGCACCAACGAAGTTTTACCAAATTCAAAGATATGGACATGTAAGACTTGCTGGTCGGTTCTACATATATCGTGTGTCAAAAAGTGGTCGAAGAACGAGGTCTCTACGCTTCAGCAACGAGCAGTTGAAAATGGAGAATTACCACCACCGAGACAATGGAGATGTCCCGGCTGCAATTTACCCAAAGAAGATGTCGCATTATCGTACACTTGTTGGTGCGAAAAGGAGGTCGAACCTCGTTCAGAAGCTGGATTACCACCACATTCTTGCGGCCAGTCTTGTTCGAAGAAACGAGTTGGACATTGTCCTCATCCGTGTGACCTTATTTGCCATGCTGGACCTTGCCCACCTTGCGCTCATATGGGACCTTCACTTCCCTGCTTTTGTGGCAAGGAGACTGTTTCAAGAAGATGTTTAGACACGAAATACGAGAGCGGATGGGGCTGTGGACAAATCTGCAATGATGTACTTCCATGCGGAGAACACAATTGTGAAAGAAGTTGTCACGAGGGCATGTGTGGTAGTTGCGAAGTACTCATTGAATCTACATGTTATTGTGGTAAAGTTGAAAAGACTCTACCTTGTTCAGAACGTGGCGAAGAGCGGGAAAGTCAAGCACCAGCCAGTGCACTTGACGATGAAAGTTCGGCTACGAGGACATGGGTTGGCTCTTTCGACTGTGGTTCTGAATGCCGCAGACCTTATGATTGTGGTAGACCAGAACATTATTGTGAGAGCAGATGCCATTCTCAAGACTTGCTGCCTGCACACTGCCCATTTTCGCCTGATGTTGTTACGACTTGTCCTTGTGGCAAAACATCGATTTCTACCCTCCTCGAAAACCCACGAACCGATTGTAAACAGCATATTCCTCACTGTCGAGAAAAGTGCGAACTGCCGCTGAAATGCGGACATACTTGTCAAGGCATTTGCCATGAAGGCGAGTGCCGACCATGCTTCCAGTCAGTATCAATCACTTGTCAGTGCGGAAGGACAACGTCAGATACTATGTGCCATCAAGGGACGGATCAGAAACCTCAGTGCCCTCGAGTATGTCGATCAACACTCAACTGTGGGAGACACGAATGTGGTGAGCGATGTTGTTCTGGCGAAAAGAAAGCAAGTGAACGACAAGCCGCAAAACGAAAGTATCGAAATTTGAATGTCCCGGCGACGGAAGAGAGCATTGAGGCTGAGCACATTTGTCTCAAAGTCTGTGGACGCCCACTCAAATGTGGTAACCACGCTTGCGCGGAGCTTTGCCACAAGGGCCCTTGCCGGTCATGTCTTGAAGCTATCTTCGAAGAAATTAGCTGTGCTTGTGGCCGTACCGTTATGCACCCGCCAATACCTTGCGGAACGAAGCCTCCCGAGTGCCGTTTCGACTGTACAAGGCAAAGAACTTGTGGTCATCCACAAACTAAGCATCACTGTCACCTCGATGGTGAACCATGCCCGAAATGTCCATTCCTTGTAGAGAAGCCCTGTATCTGTGGTAAACGGACCTTGAAGAACATTCCATGTTGGTTTACTGAAGTTCGATGTGGCTTGCCATGCGGGAGAAAGCTAAAATGTGGAATACATTCCTGTCAAAGTCTTTGCCATCGGCCCGGACAATGCGAAGATGCAACTACGCCATGTCATCAACCATGTGGAAGGCAGAAAACCGTTTGTGACCACACTTGTATTGACGCTTGTCATGCCCCTTACCCTTGTAAGGAGAATGCACCCTGTCAAGGCAAGACGTTTATAACATGTGAATGTCAAAATCAAAAGCAAGCGGTTAAATGCCTCGCCTCAAAATCCAGCGAGGGCAATTCGAAAAAGACACTGGACTGTAACGACGAGTGTCTCAAGCTTCAACGCAATGCAAAGCTTGCTGCGGCCTTGAACATTGACCCCAGTACTCACATGGACGATCACATTCCATACTCGCAACAGACCTTAGATATGGTCAAAGACATGCTCAAATTTTGTCAAACCTACGAGCGCGAATTCCGTGTTTTCGCGGCGGATTCGTCAGAGAAGAGATTGAGATTCAAGCCGATGCAACCTCATCAGAGAGCATTCGTGCACTCTTTGGCGGAAGACTACGGTCTTGATAGTGAGAGTCAAGATCCAGAGCCACACCGTCACGTTTCAATCTTCAAGACACCACGCTTTGTGTCGGCGCCGTTGAAGACTTTGGCGCAATGTATCAAAGTCAAGCCAGTGCCAATTGCAGAAGTTGCACCTTCCTCAAAGGGATTGGTTGCTACAACCCAGCCGTTCAACGCGTTGTTACTGTCGAACCCCAGGTTTGGTTTGACTATTGAGGATATACACGCCGAACTCTCCCCCGAATTCGCCAATGCCGGGCTCGACTTTGACGTATCTTTCCTACCATCCGGCGAAGTTGCTCTTCGTGGAAAACCTTCGGAGAATTGGCATACGAAAGTCGAATCAGCGTTGAATGCCACGCAACATAGCATTAGCAAAAAGGTTAAAGCCCTTGAATTAGCATCCACCGTTATCCTCTGCAGTGTGGATTCGAGTTTAAATGTAGTCAGGAGAGAAGACGATCATCTAGGTGGTGGATGGAGTCAAGTGGCTAAAGGAGCAAGCGGAAGCAAAGCTCCAGTGAGGCCCGACATAGGTGTCAAAAGCAGCTTCACCGTTTTGGGAAACAGATCATTGATGAAGAAGAAGAAGGTAGAACAAGATGCGGTGGATGATTGGGAAAAGGAAGTGGAAGCTTGGGATGCTTAATGTATATTTTATGAGATAATGATTCGATGAATTGCTCATAAATTACACTTAATCCGATGATAATTTAATCCATCTATCAGATCGATTCTTAAACTGGCTAAAACGATCTTTGAATTCATGACATGATTAATCCTTTTCTTTATTTATTTTGGTTCAGCGTTGCATAGTGCCGCGCCTACTATACATCTTTCTTTCTGATATACACTACAATATGTATCTCGAGTTATCTATCATCCATCAGAAAATCCCAGTATTTTATTTTATTTTTGGCATCACAGACTCATTTTTTCTACTCTTACTCTTACTCGTACTGTATATGCAGCCAAGATCTTGCTATTAAATTCATCCCTATTCCTTATTCCTGGCCAAAATAAAGCCTGTTTTCTTGGTCAAAAATTTATTATAGTATAGATACTCTTTAAAGTAAAGTAAAGTAAAGCAAGGTGCACATTTGATTCTTTTAGATTGTATTATACTATGTCTTGGTTTTGTACTCAAGTATATAGATAGGTACACTTATTATTATTTGTTTGTTGTTGGAACTACGGTATATCATTCATGTGCTCTTTTGGTTTCTACGTTTATTACTCGAGTAGATTATAATGTGATGAATATACAGTAAATGCAATATAATATAATATAAATTGGGAGGATTGGGAGGATTGTGGGGGGAAAATTGTTGAGGATGATGTTGTTATGGGTGGGTTTGGTGGATTGTGTTTGTATTTGTTGTTTATACTCGTAGTGGTAGATGGCGATGGCTACAGATGTAGATGTAGATATAGAAAGAGAGATTTAAATGAATTGATTGTAAGTAGTATAAGTATATTCAGTCTGTCTTATTCAAGTTTTTATTAGTCGACACATATTATATGCAGAAGCAAATGTGAGGATATTTGATTTGCAAAGCTGGGTGCGTGTGTGCGGTGTGCGGGTTTTGAAGTAGCGGTGCGGTTTATGGCTGGGGGATTATCATTCTGATGTTGGGAGGGAAGGGAAGAGGTGGGAAGAAAGGGGTGGGATGTGAGTATGAGTAAGAAAGTAAAGAGAGACGAATCTACCTATATAGTTCATGGCTATGCATGAGGGGTTTATTTGTTTGTTTTGTAGATTTTGTACACTGTCGTTGCTATCGCTGAGAATACCGGTTCTATCTGGAGCGAGGAAAAGCGGTTTATATATATATATATATTTTCTGGTACGAGTCCCGGTGGAGTTATCATATATTGTACTCGCATAATTGTAAACAGTTTAGGACAAATGATGTATGGAAAATACTCAGAGTCTCTGGTTAAGTATCTTTCAGATCATTTCTAGACACGATTGACGGACGGATAGTGTAGGTTTTTACGGCAGGAAGACTTGTGGCATGGCATGGCATGCTAGAACAACACAATGACAAAGTATGGCAAGTGCTCGAAGAGACACGGATGGTGAGTCGGATTGCAGGATATAGCATGGAAGGAGATAGATAGATGATAGAAGCAAAAGATTGTTGGTAGTAGGTGAGCAAGAAGCAGGTTTCTGGGTTGGAATATGTATCATCTCGCTCTGGAAGGTCAAACTATTGAACTAGCAAAACTATGGTTTTCTGACAAAACCCCTTTATAATGGATTCTTTTTCGAATCGAATCGTACTCGAGCCAGGCGTTTTATCACTCTACCAGTAGACCGGCCGTATTTGAAACTGAACAAGCAGGTCTTATTTTCGCCTTTGAGATCTGGATGGAAACTTTTCCTTAATTAAGCGGAGAAAGAGCTCGGGGGATATACTCGTCAAGGAACAATACTCAAAGCTCTGCTGCGAATAAATATGGCATTGAATTCTCAATCCCAAAACCATATATTTAGCAGAACCATAGCAACTGCTAAAAGCTCTAAACTGCTGATAGCTTAAATTAATAGATGGTATTCGGATTTAGCTATAAAGCAAATTAGAGGAGGCAGCATGTGTATAAAGATAGACAGCACATGAGGAACCGAGATACTCAAGTTGGCTAGAATTTGTTTTCGCCACTACTCGTAAAGGAAAAGGTACTAGGTACTTTCTCCGCTCCAGCATGACCCCCACAAATAGATAGAATGCACCAAAATCGAATGTAGTGTATGCGAACTTTGAAGTGATTCCCCACGCTATTACAAACGGGATGAGATGCAGATGGCTGAAAGTCCTAGCCCGAGGGGTACGGATAAGTATATGTGTTACGTCGGATGAATTTGGCCGGTAATGATCCACGAATCTAGTCCTAGATCCTTGGTGACACCAGGGATATATTCTATGCGGATCAATAGGTACTGGATGACCTTTCCCGTGTCCGTAAGATGGCCGGACCCTAATTGGTAAGCTCGGGGGAAGGCCCGTACCGGTACCTGGTGCGACATGGATGAGTTGCATGAGGTAATCGCCTGGTCCAAGTACAGTACTTGAACCGGCCGGAAATCAAATTCTTTTCTTACTCCGATGAAGGCTCGAATTCTAGAGCTGATGGAATGACCGTTAATTTGGAAACTTCGATAACGATCGATGAAGCTATTTTCAAAATGTGAGGGACGCTAGACCCCGCTTCTTGGTATGATGGAGAAGACACGATTGTAAGACAACCTTTTCGAATTGTACCTGTAAACACTGCGTATATAATAGGTAGTCTACTCTTTATGCGGTATGGGTAGCTCGTTGATCAAAAGCTGTGTTATTGCCAAATTTAACGCTAGGTTCATGTCCACGTGCCTTGGTACCTCTTTTGTGTTCGGACGGTATCTGGGGAATTGTGTTGGACATATCCCGAGTCGAATTAGCTATATTGTTCTAGGAGGATGCACAACCTAGAACTATGAACCAATCTAGAGGACTCAACTGTGAGCTTCTAAATCAAGACAATAACTAACTATCTTTCATGATGCATTACCGGGCCTAAATTTCCCAATCCGTGCTTGCTTAAAATATCATCAAAAGGGTAATGAAGAGGCCGTTTATCGTACTGGCTGCTTGGCAACTCCAATTTGGCAGGTAGGAAACTTTCGGGGATACGGAAATAGACTTATTCTGCATGAATTGCCACTTCAAACCTCAAGGAGACTCTTGTTGTATTTCTTGTAATGATAGTCCGATTCGATACTATTCGGTGAGTACTATAAGATAGACCGTTTCGAATGCCGAGGTTTTTACGAGTATAAGTATGCAAAAAAGCATTATCCGCTGAATGATCAACCGAAGGTAAGTGCCTGCATCGTGGTCCTAATCAATCATTGGTATATTATATATTATATAATGTAGGCATTGTGCATTAGGTGTCACAGCATATGCTAAACTAAAGAAAGCCTTGGAGGCGACAGCGTGGTCTGATTGTAAGTCTTACTGTTGACGATGTCATCTCTAAATGCCCAGTTGCTGTTTCTCGTAAGATCCATTATGTAATTTGGCCTCTCGGATATGATACATCTCTTCAAAGCTTGATATCTCGTGATCATAGAGGAAGGGTGGTTCGGGGTTCAATACGGAAGCCAGCTGGATGTCAAGAAGTCATGTGTGCCAAGGATTATCATCGAAACACCTAAATTCTCGTTGGCCCAACTACGGTTCGTTTCCATTTTCATAGTTCATAACCCCCACGTCCATCAATTGGATCTCGACAAGGGAAATGGCTGTTCGGACATGTTACCAACACCATGATCTTGGATTCTTGGATCAGCTAAGCCATCTGAGGAATGATCTTACAATACCAGGGTCCATCAGCCCCGCGATTTTCAAGGATCGAGGTCATTATACCGGATCAGCAGACATTTTACTCTGCAGCGACATTGTACAAGCAAGTCAACGAACGGTCGATATACCGTACGAGTACGTTAAAACGCCTGAAGAAAAGACAGACAAACTCATCTACCGGTATGTCCAAGGTACGTCTAAGGTACGTCTACGGATACGTCTACTACAGACGTGATTTCTTCAGCCCAATATGAGGTTTACCGAAAATCAAAAAGTTCAGCTCTCTATATAATTGTGGTGTGGTTTGGTTGGTGCTGAGTGAGACTACTCTGAGCTTTCATCTCCTGTTGGCTTTTATTTCTTACTTCAATCAAAAAACTTCAGGAATTGCTCCCGGTCAAACCCGTTGCAAATCTATTACATTATCGTATTCGGAGGGGTAAAAAGCCTCTTGGGGTCATGACGCGAATCAAAAATTGCGATTAGCAACAGATTATTGGATAAACATCTGCATTCGCTGAGGTATCATGTATGCGGTGAGGTGAGGTTGTCTAGGAAGGAGCAGACGGGGCCCAATATGTAAAGGAACACGGGGTTGAAAGAATTTACACTTTCCCTTTTTCCCTACATTTCATCTCTTGGCAAGCAAGCAGACTGTACCAAGATGGGTTTCTCGGCCGTTTTCTATTGAATTTTTGTATGTAACGTCGTTGATGGTGATTGATCGAGAATGGAGAGTGCAAAGAGTGTAGCATGTCAGAAATCGGGAACCAGTTAATATACTACTAATTGTCGTATCAGGAATTTCAACTTCGTTCAGTTTGTCATTGCAATTGGTCAGGAAACGAAAAGATGGGTTGCCGGTCATCCGCTCCATGTCGTCGTCGACCTGGGGAAGTAACATAGGGATTTCACGATGCCTTCTTTCAGCAATATGCAAGGCTAGTACCTGCTCCACACTCCACAATCTCTCATCTTGCATTTGTATCTCGTCTCACTCTATCGAACGTTTTGATAATACGACTAGGCAAGCCGAGCCACGAGGTTCAACGCCTTGAAAACTCTCAACCCCCACACTATGCAGCAGCGACAAAGTAAGTCGCCCGTATACGCCACCACCAGGAACACACCAAGAAAAACAATATTTAATATCCAACTGCTGCCCACTCGAAGGTCCTTGATAGTATCGTCTCAAGAACTTTGCCTTCATTCAGCTTAATTCAGTGTTTTCCCTGACTAGTCTTCTCAGATAGATTTCAGCTCAAGACTTATATCTCAAGCTAGCATCGCTCTGCTGTCTCATTTTGACTTTCATATCAATACAACTATATTAAAGCTACCTCATACTCACTATGGCACCACATAACGATTCATCATCTTCCACGGGGGAGTTCTCAACAGATTTCAACATCCCTTTCCATCCCCCAATAAATTCCGCCTTGCGAAACTTAAGGAACGCAAGTAGCATATATTCAGTGAACGAATCCTCATACAGTTCTTCGCAAAGTAGTGTCTCGATAGAAGCTGATGATCACATGGCTCGTCCTTTAAATCCTGGGGTTTATGTACCCACCGTCTGCTTTTTCGACCCAACCACCGAAGAGCTAGACACAGAAACCATCTCCAACCACGCCATCCGTCTCGCGAAAGCCGGAGTCGCTGGGCTAGCCACCCAAGGTTCTAATGGCGAAGCTGTTCATCTTACTCATGCAGAGCGTCAAACTGTTACGGCAACGACTCGTGCCGCGCTCACCTCGGCCGGGTTCTCACACCTTCCTATCATTGTTGGCTGTGGCGCTCAGTCTGTCCGAGAAACGGTCCAATACTGCCGAGAGGCCCATGCTGCTGGAGGAGATTACGCACTCGTTCTACCGCCTTCGTATTATGCGCCTCTATTCTTGCCATCCTCTGCTTCTGTTATCGAATTCTTCAACACAGTAGCCGATCAGTCCCCAATTCCATTATTAATTTACAACTATCCAGGGGCTGTCTCCGGCATGGATCTCTCATCAGACGTCATCATACAATTATCAGCCCATCCCAACATCGTTGGGGTGAAGCTGACTTGTGGCAATACCGGCAAATTGAACCGAATCGTGGCAGCCACTAAGCCTCCCAAGCCACACTTCCCCGCATCTACTCCGTCATTTTTGGTTCTCGGAGGCAGTGCCGACTTCACCCTACAAAGTTTAATCGGGGGTGGTCATGGGATCCTCGCCGGATTAGCAAATATTGCTCCGAAAGCGTGCATCGAGATGACTCGGTTGTACCATGCAGGAAACATCGGCGAGGCTCAGAAATTTCAGGAAGTCGTTGCTCAAGGTGATTGGGCGGCTATTCAGGGAGGTATCGTGAGCACCAAGTCCGGCATGCAGAGTTGGTTGGGTTATGGAGGATTTGGTCGTGCACCGTTGCCGCATCCCACGAGTGATGAGATGGTGAAATGGAAGGAAGGTTTTCGAGAGCTGGTGACGTTGGAGAAGAGCCTTTAGATGAGGTATTTTTTTCTGGTTCGGGTTCTTGGGTTTCTCGGTTTTGGGTTCATCTTTTCAGCATGGTTCTTTGATGCATTTCTTTAGTAGCAATTGCGAAGGCTCTCGTGTTGTTCCGAGTTAAAAGCTTCGCTCGTTGCACATTCTGGTCTAGCAAAATTTCTAGAATCTTTCAACTGCATACACTTGTTCATTTTCAGTCGGAGTTGATGTCGATGTCGATGTCGATGTCGATGTGTTTCTTCATTATATAATGTACATATGGAATAGTAAGTTTTACTAAAGTACCCAAGACCAAGAGGACGCTTATCGGGCATGTCAAAGAAAATGTCCGTAATAATTACACGATTCATCATTCAACTGAACCTTCCATATCTTAAACTAATCATTGATCAGTGGCGCTATTCAACGGTACACCAAGATTTGTAGCAGTGGGCTCCACGCTCCCTCCCTCCCACAAATCGCAGTAAATAAATAGTTCCAAGTCGAATCTACAATATTTTTTAGGTGTATATTATTATTATGTTTCCGGCCGGGTGAGTGGTGTGTTGTGTATTATTGAGAAAGGAAGGAAGGGAAGGGTTCGAGATGAGGTGGATATATATGATAGATATATGATAGATATAAAGATGATACCGGTACGGTGTTCATTTTCCGCCACATTGCTGCTCTTATGTATACGTACTCAAGTATATGTAGTAAGATTACTTCACTGGCAGCTTGTGTAAGTGTTGAGAGTAGATATTATTTTTATTTCTTGGTTATAGTATATTTTTAGTATTTCTGGGTTTTTTGAATAAGAATAAATAAAATGACTCGGAGAGAAACGCTTTTGGATGAGATTTGAAAGTTTTTAGATAGGATTTGAAAGTTTTTAAATCAAGTTTTTAGAAATTGAATCTTTTGAGAAAATCTGTTCTTTTGTATTTGAAAAGACATTGATATAGAATATACAGAATGTTTCACAGGAAGACTATTAAAAGAGCATAGAATCTAAGCTTATTATTATTATTATTATTATTATTATATAAGCTGACGAAGCATGGTCAACCACCAACGAACAACTCTTTCACCTTGTGAAAAACCGATGCTCAATCTCTTCTCAGCCTCTTTTCAACAAAACCGCATGCTATATCCTGCCTGTTGTCAATTTGACGTGCAAATTAGAATTTTGGTTCTGTAAGAATGAATTTACTTGGGTAAACCTTATTCTTGGTTGCGTTAGTGGGAATGTAGTCCATGGCTTCTGTGTGCATATAGTAATGTATAGGCAAAGGTTAGGGTCAACCGTGAATTTTGCCCGATGAACGGCATCATATATTGTACCATCACGTGCCGATCTTGCAACGAAGCAGCTCTCTTACGGTTCCTCCTATTTTCTGGTTAATATGAAGCTGCCTCAAAGGACGGCCCTGTTAGCTTTTGGGCTTAATCCGAACCATGGAGCTGCCTTCTTCCGTTATCTTGAGCTATGTGTAAACGCGGACCTTTTTATCCCAGTGTTGACTTCAATCTCTATGGAGTAGTAAAAATCCCTCGTGTTTACGTCTTCAGATGCCGACGGAGCATTTAATTGAAAAAGATATCCACTCGTTTGATGTTCTCCTAGGTAATTCAAGGTCATATATGGATTACTCTGGGTTCAGAAGTATCAGAAAAGCAGCAAGTGAGGTTCCAACACTGCCTGAGGAATATTCCATACCTTGGGAAATGCTGTCAAATGAGGTTGGTTTGCCCCTTGAAGAGTTCAAGCATATCATACATGTACAGAATGTGATAGCTCTTGCAAGGGAACGATATTTTCGTCACACATTGCCTTTTGTTGGGAACAATGCACTTGCCAGACAGAGCACATCTCTCAATGTTGGCGTAACATATCTGTCTCTATATCACTCCCCATTCTCAACACTACTTCTTCTTCGTTTCTTCTCATTAAGTTCTTCATCTTGCCAGCTTGGCTATCTTACTAGATGAGCTTGAAATAGCGATCTAAGTCCTCTAAATCTACGAATCTATCACAAATCGATGCGCGTCTTTATATCTTAATAAGGTCGCTTAATCTCTTTATGTACCGCATCAAAAGCTGTTTTATGTTCAGTATATGTCCAGTTCCGCGTTGATGCTAAGCAGATTTGCCTTCGCACACATCAAAATACCTGAGTTTGGTAATTTTTGCCTTGTGTAATCCGTTCACCATACCCATTGCCTATTTTCTCTTCGTTTACTGAGTTACTTAGCAAAATACACTGCGAACGCATGTTCGCTGGCATTCAAAGGCTTAACTTCCCAAATACCTTCTTCGAAATTAGTGGTTGTGCTGAATACGGCGACGAGATTCTCACGGCAATCGAATGATCAAATCCTCAAATCAAGACATCTTTATGTGACCTCGCTGACTTACGTTTGCCGAATTAACCGCACCTGCCACTAAATTCAGAGGGTATAATTTACCCACAATGCATCAATATTACGGTTAGTGAAGTCGCTCATGATGTGCTATACTATACTCCACGAGCCATATACTTTTCCTCGGTGTAGCCACCAGTACGCATGTGCTGGAACTATTCTAATCTAACCATTGACATGCTAGTGCTACTCTAAAGATCAACGTATTTAATGCCAGTCATCTGCGTGCGATATACCAATATCTTTCCGTCATAGAAGTATGTGGTTCTTTTATTCTCGGTTGTCAAAACTTTTCTATTGTCCATTTCTGGTGCGTAAAAGTGAATATAAATTTCGCAAGTTCAAAAGGTTTTCTACTGGCTCGCTTCCAATTGTCCTCAGATGCTATTGTTTCTCATATTCACTACCAATTGTGTCAAAAGAAATATTAGGTAGACAATAGGAAACCTGACCATTCTTGTCAGGGGTAGCCAATCGGAACATTCTTTCACACCTTGTTGGCATTGTATTCTCAATTGACAATAGAAGTAGAATTATATCGCGAGCCTTCTGTCCAGATCTTCTGTGAAGTATTTATGTTCTTGCTTTGACCCTTCTTCTCTTTCTCTTCTTCACGCAACGAAGAACGAATACTGCTCTACTACTTCCGTAGAATTCCAGCAAGCTCTTCACCAAGTGTCTCCTCTTCTTTTCGTTGTCAATTATTTGCTTTCTTTGGAAACATATCTCCCACTCACTCGTCAGACCAATCTTATTACCTTGCTTCAAAACCCCACCACCATTTACTTCACAATGTCCTTTAATTCTTCCTTCTTTGGCAACGATGCCTCTCCCTACATCTCGCCTTACTCAAGCAACTCCTCTAGCGAGTCGCTTAGGCTCTCCGAAGAAGTTATTCCAAAGGTTGAAGAAACCCGTCGGTATGATCCGACTTTATACGAGTATGTATCTTTGTGCTTTCGTGCCTTCCCATTGACTTAAATTACTGACTTTACGTTCTTCAGAGCTTCCCCTCGTCGCATCGCGGTTCCCTCCGTTATTGTCACCACCGCTACACCAGTAGCTTCTCTTCTTCCATCGGCTTTTTCTCCCAAGAGAAAGTATACCAGAATCATCAAGCTCAAGCTACCAAAGCAGAGCTTTGCTAGAGGGGTCACCAAGCCCGCTAGCCGCCAACGCCCATCACCTCGCACTCTAACCACCATGGCCACCAAGTTAGTCCCCGTCTACGACTTTTACTACCCCGCTCAAACCTTGGGCAATCTTCCTTTCGCCAACCTCCTCGACCCCCAATTATTTGCTGCGCCCAAGCCAGCAACCACCTACTCGGAGATCATTCTCCCCCAGCTTCGCGAGCTCATCGCCAACATCAAGTTTACCACGGACAAACACTTGATGACGCACATTCCCCGCCTCGTCGATCTCGTCGCTCTGCTCTCCCAATTTCCCGACTTTGGCCTCGGAACCAACAATCTCGCTGCCTTCCGCAAGCACGTGTGCAGTTTCTTCGCCACCGCTCGCACCCAGGAGGAAGCTCAAGTCGATGCTCTCTTGGCCATTGAGCCGGAAAAGGACCTGAGGATGGTCTTTAGAATCTTCGACGACCTCTATACTTACAATTTTCCTCGTTGTGCCGCTTGTCTCATCTATCCAGATGATTTTGAGCACAAATCTGGGGGAGAGACTGTTAGTAATGAGCTGGCTTGCCTCTGTCCTGATCAGTATGAGGTGGATATTGATTCTTCGGAGCCTTTGCTCCTTTATAAGCAAGGTTGGGCTTCTCCTGTTTCGTACGTCGTTACTGCTTCCTTTTCGGAGGATGTTAGTGTGCATTATCCAATGTACTACCATTGAGCTTGGTGTTTGGTTCGGCTCGGTTTGGCGTGGCGTGGCGTTGCGTTTACTGCTGATGAATTTTACCAATGATTTGTGGATGCAGGATTCGGGTGTAGATTAGATTAATTGACGATTCCAATACCATGATTTCTTGGAACATTTTCTTTACAATGTTAAACGTGACCTTGCATGATTTACTACTATCACTTATACATCTGGGTTAGTAAATATTCAATCTCCCAACCTCCGATGATTTTTTAGCTGTGTTCTCCGAGTAGCATCAGCTACCAAGTTATGTTGTTGTTCCCATGATCAGCTCATCGGGGTTCCACTCTACTTGTTTACTGTGTAGAATTGCATATTGCTCATCTTCTGTATCATCTACAAGAACTTTCATCTATTCATATGCAGTCCATGCATAGCTAATATCCTTCTATAACCTAGTAGATTCATATTTTACATTTAATGATGTCGGTCTAATACGTATGTATAATATTGTGTCCAAAGTTAGTGTACTGAACTTTACTCTGATTAACTATGGCAAAGCAATATATATTCTTTTTCTTCAGATCAAATCTTCAAGCGCTCTCATCTACTCCTGTAGGTCTATATTCTTTTATCATCTCTCTAAGATCAACTCTACAAGATTTGTTTCTCGAGTATTAGGAGGCTGACTACTCATATATCACCTCTCCCGATCAAACTATGAGAACTCTTACTTTATTTGATAGAGCCTGATCTCTTTATAATTCCTCTCACTGGCATAGACAATCTATATCAGAACATTCTCCCTGATATCACCTTAGACTCATAATATTGTTCTATTCACATTCAATCTACAAAAATTTTCCCCTGGATTAATATCGAGTAGTTCTCTATAAAGTCATCATTCATCACTGATACCGAGCTTGCCATCTTATTATATATACCAACGTCGCCCTGTCCCGCGGCTTTCTCTTCTCTGGACAGTTGGCATATTCCAAAATTTTCCGGCTGGTGGTATCTACCAATGAATAATCTTATATGGGATTCCTCAAGTAAAAGATAGCAACTTATCCAGATGAATGATATTTTGATATTACTCTCATTATGCTCAAGTTATAGAAGTCTTTCCCCTGATTAAATATCGTTTAAAATCTCCTAATTATCTACTACACAATATGTTATTACAAGCTATAGAGCTATTCTATTTATTATAATGATATAAAGTGTTTCTCTTATATTCTATACTGTTGAAGACACACACACAA